AGCAGAGTGTTGCTTCATGGCTTGTTGCCTCAGGCTGGTAGGAGTTGAGAGTCAACTGAATGAGAAGCAAATTGGAAAGTTGTTTAGCATGGGGGCATTGAACAGCACTACTAAGAGATGGTACTGTGGTGAGTTTTCACTCGATAGCATGTCTAAATCTGGTCTGCTGCTTCTCTGTGCATTGTGGCAATTGAAACTGAATTAGTAGATTTTTTTTTTCCAGATCAGTTGCTCTTCTTTCTACAACTGTCATTGTAGAATGCTGGGATCTTAGAGAAGTTTTCCAAAGACTTAATGGTGTACAGTGTACAGGATAATCCAAGCCTCCAAGTCATAGTCACATATGCTGCTTTCCTTCCTTAATGTGTAATGTTGCCCCCTATTCTGCTTCTGTGCCATTTAGCTGGGGACCAAGCTTACAGGAACAGTCTCCCAGAGGCGTGTTATTACACAGGCCTGAAACTGTGTTAGTAGGAGAATTGCATTACTGTGAAATACATATCTTGCATAATTAAGAGGGGTTGGAAGTAAATGAGCTGATAGGATTCCTTTTGCATTTCATTTGCATAGTTCTTTGATAACATTAAGGCACAAGAAAAAAAAAGCACCATGAAAAACAGCACATAACAGCACTTGCCTTTGAACCTTTCCAGAACAAAAATTTTACAGTAATAATGTGTGCCAAGGAAGAAAGAGGCAAGAAGTAGGTGTATTAACTGACTCGGAGAGTGTGGGTAGGCTTGAAATTTATAATGTTCTGCAGATCTTGGCAGTTTACCAAGGATTCCCCTTGTCCCCTCTGCCTTGCAACATGTATAAAGCCCGCTGAGATGAGAAATAAACAGCATATTGCTATCAGACATATGGGGTATGCTTAAGTAGTGGATTCAGTTGAAGATCCAGTTAAATGCTGCAATGTTGCTGTGTTCATGAGAAAAGCTGTAACCTTATGTAAATGAACTTTGTGTCATCTGCACAAGAAGAAACAGGACAAAATTTAGGGCCGACAGTCTCAACTCTATTGACTCCATTTAAAAATGCAATGGTGCAAGTAGCAGTCTTAGAAATATTCTTATACTTCTTCCTTGGGAGGATAACCAAGTTCTTTAATATGAATAGAACCATGAAATGAGGGAAAGAAAGGTGGGAAGAATGCATAAGAAATGACAAGTAGTTTGGAAATTTTGATCAATAAAATCTTAACGTGGTCTAAATGAAGGGAATGTATTGGTGAACTCATTTCTCTGGGGATGAGCTTACAGTGCTGATGTTTTCTTGTGGCCCCCATGCTGAAACGTGGTAAGAGGCAAACTCACTCCCAGCATGATGTAGCCTTTTCTATCTGGTGCTACTACTATGCAGTGAAACCTCTGCAGCTTCCTCAGTCCTTTGGCTCTGGAGACAGTCATCTTATGCTTAGCAAGATGTGTCTTGGTTGCTGCTGTCTCCATTGCATATTTTATATCCATACTTAACATTCTGGCCATGGGACAATTATCTTGTGATCCCCAGCCTCTGATATTTGGCATCTAGCAGTATTTTAAGAAACTGCTGTTTTCAGTTACCATGGATTGCGTTTTGCAGTCTTGCAGAGCTTTTTAGATATCCAGATGGTAATTGACAACAATGCACCTGGAGAAACAAAGCTGAAAGAACCTCTGCCGTGCCATGAGGATGGGAGATCCCATGATGCCATGAGTCCACACTGCACTAAAGCAGGGGCCTCATTCTGCATGAAAAGTGTTTTCTCAATGGAATGGTGTTGCTGAGATATGGTGTCTGTATGGAACCTTAATGTTTACAGCATTTATGAAGTGTCCTGTGAGTTGGATTTGAATAAATTTTAATCCCAGGAGATTGAGTTCAGAGGGTTTCTCCCATCTATGATTTCTGCAGTTCTTTCTTCATGTTCAATCACTTTGCAATTTAATTATTACTCTTTTTAATGCAGAAAATTTTTTCCAAAGCAAAAGCTGGCTATGAAAATCTGAAGATTGGTTTCCAAAATGGGAATGCTTAGCCATTTCATATTATGAACAAAATTATACAAGCATGCTAATAGTTTGACAAGTCTGTTCTTGAACAGAGCTGTTAAGCAGATAAACAAAAAACCAAAAACTCGGCTATGCTTATATGCTGTGCTTGTGATGTTTGCTTTTTCCCTTCCTCTGAAAATATTTTTAATGAAAAGAATGTGTCTTCAAAATATCCTTTTGCTTCTCTCATATAAATTAATGTCATGCAGGCCTGTCCCCCCCATGTTGTAGATGCTTAGAATATGAGTGCTCCATACATTATGAGAAGGGTATTTGGAGTAATTTTAAACAATATTTTGAAGTGACCATGGTTTAAATTTGGCCTGGGATACTGAGCAGCCCACACTTCCCACACTGCAGTTCACTTGCTTTCAGTCCCTTAGGAGCGTTATGTAGAAGCTTTTCCCATCCCAGAAGAAGCAAAGCGAAACATGAGCAATTGCTGTGCTCTGCTGTAGCTGGCCCAGGTTTTCGTAGGGACATTTGTGGAAGCACCATCAGGATCCCGTGAAGCTGCTGGGGAAGGATGGTTGGGCTGATGCACATTAGTCATCCTGAGTGGGCCATTCTCACAGGGAGGAACATTGACTTGAGAAAAGCTGTGAAGCTAAGCCCTGGGAAATTTCAGGTGTCTCTCTGGAAATAGCAAGCCCACCAGTAGTTTGTAGATTTGAAAAGACAAATAGAGCAAAAATTCAATAAAATATGTGGCATCTTATGGATGTCTTGCTACTTCGCCCTTCTGTGTGCCACATTTTCTGCTTGAGTATATTCTGCCACCATTTTAGCATCTCCGCTCTGCTGCAGAGTGAATGGTGAACTGCATTTCACTGTTTTTTAAAGAAGTTTCTTTCTTCAGAAATCCTTAGTGTTGTGAGCTTTTTTTCCTCTGAGATGTCCTTGTAACTCTCTTATCTTTAGCGTATTCTTTTTATATCTCAAACTGATCATCCCACGTCCTTGGGCCTTCAAGTTCCTTCAACGGACCTGTGGAAAATAGGGTCAGAGCTGAGAGTAGTAATTTTTCTGCCTTGGTGTAAACCATTTTCCCCTCCTTCCTTGTGGGATGGTAAATTTTGAGGAGAAGATCACAAGCTTCTGTCATTAGGCAGAGGTCCAGGGTGGGAAATTGGAGCTGGAAATCTCCTGGGCTTGCTGAAAGGCTTTGGTTCAAGAAGTAATAAGGTCAAGGTAAGGTCAGTCTTGGCTACTGCACACATGTTATGACCCTAACTTTGTTTCAAAATTGAAACCAGCTTGAGACCAAGCTGTAAAAAGAAATGCCTGCAGTAAAGAGAGTTTACAGAGCAAGCAAAAGCCTGAGAACAGTAATGTATTTATAGGAAGCATGTGGATTGGTTAGTAAGGGGAGAGCGCAGCACAAAAAGAGTTGTGAAAGAAAGCCAAGGCAGCCAATTCTGCAGCATTTCATCCTTTTGAATGCACCAGCAATGCCTGGCCATTACCTCCATGGAGGGCACCATAAGATGTGAAGGGGTCAAGATTTCACCAAAGAGACTAGTGGTTTGGGGTGCTTCCATTCTGGGGTGTCCATCTTGAAAGAATCTATAACGAGATTAATAAGTTAGTCCAGGAAAAAAATGCACTGTTGATGTCCGTCAGCTATAGTGGATGCTACATATAGTTTTCTGCCTAGGAAACTTAGAAACAGGTGAGGAGAAGAATAAAGGAACTATCACTTTAGTGAAATGTTTTGTTATGTTTTTATCATTACTTGTGATAAAGTGATGAAATGTAGTGGGCGTACCTCTTGCTGGAGAGCTTGACTGATGCAGACAAGACCTTTTGGGGATGGTGCTTGGGAAAGTTATTGGGAGACTGGGCTGTTTGGCTGTTGGGTGTTAAATGGAGAGCTGGAAAATACCAATATAGGGACAATTTCTAAATGCCTCCTTAGGAAAAAAAGTACAAACCAGCTAATTGATGTGTCCCCACTTCATGTAAACATACAGAGGAGAGAAAAAGTTTTTTTTTAGAAGTCAGCTGAGGTGAATTGCAGCCCACCTGGAGTGGGCTGTAGTGCTGGAGGGGCCTGTTGTGCCGCCTGCCTCCCAGCCCTGCGATTTGCATCCTGCCAGCTGTCTCTGTTCCAACTGCAGAACAAACCAGTTTAATTTCCTGGACTGCAATGCCCTGCCCCACCCTGCAGTTTCTTAACTATGTTAACTTTCTGCCATTTTAGTGATCTCAATCAGTTTATCGTATGATACAATGAGTGCCAGAAGGAGCTCAGTGCTCCTGGGAGAAGTATGTGACAGGAGGCAGAGGAAGGAAGGGTAGGAGCTCCCTGCTGCAGAAGCTGGGATCTATTAACTCGGCTCCAGCTGTATTGAGAAACTATCCTTATCATGGAGTAGCTGAAGAGAGATGACATCTTGTTCTTGTCTAGCTATTGTGAGACAAGTGAAGAGACCTCTTGCAGATCTGATGCATCACTTGTGAAAACCTCACATTTTTTTACTAGTGAAGACCAAAACAAGGAGAAATGTCCTAAGCCCTAAGCATGGGCTAATCCCCTAAGCATGCTTGCATTTATCTAGTAATATGTCACCCAGGTACCAGGCACTGGTCCATAGAAATAAAATATACAACACATGGAGTTTATCTATTCTGACATGTTAATAGACTATCATTAATGACTACAAGCTTTGCTAAAGTAAACAGAAGGGAAGCTGTGAATGTCATCTGTCTGTACATGATAATAATCATTTTAATGTGGAGAAAAAGAAATAGGTTCTAAAATTTGTATAAGAACATTTTAAAAAGAATTTTTTTTTTTAGCCATCCAAAGTATTTGTTGTTTTTTCCTAGGACATATAAGAAGGGTCTAGCACATTTGGGGAAAATCCAGTGACTGGAACTCTTGTCCAAATGTTCTGCTCTGTGTATGCTTGAAGGGATGGGTGAGATGCTGGTGTTGACAGTTCTCTCTCTCTTATTCAGGGTCGACATGTCAAAACGGGTCAGCTGGCGGCCATCAAAGTCATGGACGTTACTGAGGTGAGTAGAGGAACCTTCTGCTTTATTAGCAGTATGAGTAAAATATAATATTTGAGAGATGGTATATGGCTTACCTCACATTTCTATTGAAGGGCATGGTTTTTGCATGTGAATGTTTGCTCTCTGCTTGCACGACCTGACCTCTCAAACCCATCTGCCCTTTACAAGATTTCTGTGTGCTGGAGCCTCTGGCCTTCACAAATTGCTTTGGCCAGTGCCAGGGCATATGAGTGCACACAGCACTCCATTTTCAGAAATTTCTTAGAAGAGGGGGAAAAAAATCGTATTTCTCACTTTTTTTCTCATAAATGTATCATCTTGCTTTTACTGAAAAAGAAGGTAAGGAGGCTGCTTGACACAGAGGACAGTGTTCTCCCTGGTACATTTGCAGCTTACAAAGGGTATATGTTTATTCAAAGGAATGGGTCCAATAAAGTTCCAAGAAGCCTGAAAGCAGAAACATCTGCAGGAATGATGCAGGACTGATGAGCAGATTGCTAGCAGAATTCAGCAATGTAAAGTAGTAGTAGTAACTGACCCACAGGGATTTACTGTGGAGTTTTAGATGGGAAAGAAGGGAAATGAACCCAGCCAAAGAAATAAAAAATATGTGCCTATATTTGAATCCTTAGGTGTCTTGCAGTTTATGCTGTTCAAAAAGCAATCAATTTAAGTCATAAAAACAGATCAAGAAAAGCATGGGTTTCTCCCTATTGATTCCAATTGTGTTGTATAGAGTTACATCCATTAATTAACACAGCTTCAGATTTAAAATCGAATGAGAGCCTCCCATGTGCAATGCTTGACTGATACTGCTCTTCTGTAGAGATGTTGTACCTTTTCAAACTGCCTTATTCTTCTGAACTCCTCAATCTTACGTAGGTATTCGGGTGAAAATTTTGTTAATGCATGTGCATTATACAGAGCAAGGGGTCTTTGGCAAGGCTGGTTATATTAAGCAAAACTCCTGTAAGTGTATTGCTGCAAAATATTTTGTAATTTAGTGAGTATATAGGTGCAACAAGTAAAAGTGGCCTTGGACACAAGGTCCTCATGAGTGGTAGGGTGTAACAGGTAAATAGGCAGGAGAGGAAGAAAACAAGAATGCAGGGTTAGGTCAACTGATAGGACTTCAGTCTTATCTCTGAATCTCTTAGTGATCGATGGGCAGTGTGACTGCTGCTCTCTAACTTAAGGTGTTGTGTCTGCCAAGAGCTAGATATTCTTGCTTTGTAAGATGGCCTGATAAAGATCAATTTTCAGCTGAAGTTTGTCAAAGTCTGCCTTCATGAGGAGGCAATGCTTTTTTTGCTGCAGTTAACAAGCAGAGAAAACAGAGAAAAATGAAGGTGTGTTGACACACAGTGAATATTCTTTGCACAGCAAATGTTTCCGTTTGTGCAGTGGTTTTACACAGGGCAGCTTGCTGGACTATGCATGACAAAGGATTCTTCCATAATATTAAGATTGGCTCTAAAGCACACTCTTTCTGTTTTTAATATCATGTATTAATCACAAACAGTTGTAATGTAGAGGTTGCACAGCAAAAGGAAAACAATTGAAAAATGCTGTCTATGGTATGGCTATACTCATGTTGCAGGACATGGCTTAAGTTTTGAAACTTTCTGTAATTTTCATCTGGTTTTGAAAAGCAAGTTGTATATTGGCACGGTCTCTCAAAAGCACAATGCTTTTTTAGGGGATGAAGGGCAGTCAGAGGGAAGAGTTTGGAGATGTTAGTTCCATGCAGCTTAAAAAATCATCGTCTTTCCTACTAGTGGAGCCTCATGTGTTTTGCTTCGAAGTAATGAGCCTGCAGGGGCTAAAAATGTGTAAATTCTTCCAAGTCATGCTAAATCAGCTCCACTTTGTAACACCAGGCATAGGTGATACCGTTGCATGGATCATTTTCTCAGTGGCAGATGTGGCCATAGGATGTTCCTGTCCAGTCTTGCTTGCTGGTTCCTTGCCTGTTTCCCAACACTTTTGCCAACACAACTGCCTGGGGGCCAGATGGTGACCTGGTACAGTGAACAGGCTACAGTTCCAGTTTAAAAATACCCTCGCTTCTCTCCTTCCTCTGGTTTATTTATAAACTGGATTGGTTCATTGATCACTGATTAGCACATAATGTTACCAACTGTTGTGTGATTTCTATGAAGGAAGTGTCATGAGACCAGAAAAGAGCTGCTGCTGGCCATCAGGGAGAAGGGGCAGTAGCTCAAACTGACATTTCTACCAGATACAGCCATATCCTCAAGACATGGCTTCAGTTTCTCATGGGATGGTTCATGAACAACTCCTTTTCTGGCAAACAATGGAGCTCCATCCTGGTTCTAGCTCACCATAACTTACAGGGACAGTGGGAGGAGAGAACGTGGGGACAGAGAAGACAGTGACTGCCACCCTTAGCTCTGTCCCAGAAGAAACGCTGAAGAAACCGCAGCCTCAAATTCACCTTCTCTGCCTGCTCTAAGAGCTATAGTTAGATGAACTGCTAATGGTAATACGAACAGTGTCCATGCCCATGGAGAAAGAAGCTTCAGTGGAAACTTTCACAAAACTGAAATTGTGATTTTTCCAATGAGTGGCTGCTTGAAGCTGTAGGTGATTTGTACCTATGTGCATATTTTATTGGCAGTGTTATGCCTTTCTGCATAAATTCAAGCAGTACTGTGAGGGATATCTGATTATTTTGACTAACCTGAGTTGAGAACAGACACAAGACTTTCTTCTGGGATACCTCTGATCCAGTGCTTGCTTTGCCAAATGCTTAACAAATTAGAACCTAATGTGTTCACATGCTCTGTGGGCACACCCCAAATTTTCAGTTTTCAAGGCCATGATTCTGCAATTCACACATTGCTCAGGATCAGTGAAGTTACATGAGTTCTGGGCTGTAAAGTTTTTAACACCCAAACAGGTGCGTTGTCAAACTCAGAGTAAAGGCTTTCCTTTAAAAGTTTTTGTTGGCATGAAGAAAATGAGGTAGTATAATCTCTGACTAGAGATATTGGAAGAAACATTATACCTCTGTATTATACATGGCACTGTGGAAATGCTCTTCGTCCTTCTCATCTTTTCTTGTGGTTTTCTCTTTAAATTTTAATTTTGAAAAGGATAGTGGCAATCATGAGAAAAGAGGAGGTGGGCTGAAGCTATCAGTTTGGTCTTTGAATATATTATGACTAGTTAGTACTGCTGCCTTAAATGTTGGAGAGGTGTTGATGTGCATAAAACTTTCCTGCCTCTTCTATTTTCCTCCTTTCTAAACAAATTAAGAAAAGACGTAGAAGACTGTATGAATCTTTACAGATCTTTACTTCTACAGCACTAAAGCGAGCACTTAAGGGATCTGTAAGACCTAAAGATCTGTAAGTTTTAGTACAGAATGGTGCATATGTAGGTCCTATTTTCACTTTCTGAGGGCGAAGCTACAGCGCATGTAGGCCGAAAAAATTTCACTAGAGTGTAGAACAAATAAAACCAAAAAACCCACCAGTCTTCATCAATGGAAAGCTATTCTAATTCCTTGTTGGAATGAGCCCAGTGACCGTAAAAGGGGAACAATATGAACTATCATTGTATATGCACTTTAAAAATCATTTTAGAAAACGTACACATGTAGGATGAATTTCATGCTGCACATGTGTTGTGGGGAGGCATTATTTGAGAGATTCCTGTAGTCTGTCATTAATCGTTTTATTGTAGGGTCTCTGTTCCTTTTGTGACATTGTATTGGAGAAGGCAGTGATCAGTCTGTGTTGACCCCTTCCACTCACTCACTGTTGGGTTTCCATGACTCTTAACATTTGGTAGTCACTATTCAGTTAAAGAATCGGTTTTCTTGTGAAGTAAATAACATTTAAAACCTTAGCAAAGCTTACTTGGCAAATCTGCCTGCACTCAAGCTGTTAACTTGCATTATACCCTAAAGCTTGACTCTGCTTAACTCCTTTTGAAGCTTTCCTTGCAGCTGCATGGTTGTTTCCAGTGTCACTCCTGTGTTCCGCTTCCAGCAATGCTTTTCTCTTTGAAAGCTTTAGTAACTGATTTTGAGGGAGAAACACAATTGCTTCTCCTCTGTTTGTTATAACCCCTGATGCTGCTGCTTCTTCCTCCTACCTCTTCCCACACACACTTGGCATCCCTTGGGAAAGTTTTCTGCGTGCCTTTTTAATAGCAGCATTTCTCAGCTCTTGTGCCCAGTGTTTCATGACTTGTCCAGTCTAGTCTGTGTAAACTTATGCTAAGTAAACAACTGAATACTGTATCCTGCTGATTTGTGAAAGAAGCTGGGTTGCTTTTAGTGCTTGCCTGTCTTGCTGTTTCTGTACGTCCTCTGCAGAAAAATTAACAACCTCAGACCAAAACCTCCAGGCCTGCAGAGAAATATGGCACATCTCCATACCTAGAACAGGAAAGGTTACCTGAATTACTCATTGCCATCTTCCTGACTCTGCTGACTGCTTATTTCTGTTGCAATAGGCAAGTCCCTTTGATTCTTGTGAGTCTCTATCTTATAGCCTACATGGTGTTACAAACTGCAATCTTGTGGATGAGCTGTCCATAGGACATCCCAGAAGGAGTCTGCAGAAGAACCACAGATAGATAAAAATATGTGTATATTCCCACACAAACTGGCAGACAAAATGAGGGGAAAACAAAATAATAAACACCAAAAGTTTGCCCTAACTATTATCTATGTTCTTTTATTCCCCATGAAGACTGAAAGACAATCCATGGATTTTGATCTGTTTAGAGGGAAAAAAATAAAAAGTTGATGGCTCACTCTAGAAGTTTGGGAAATGCAGATCCTTGTGGTCCTGTGCAACAGAACTGGGTCAAGCCAGTCTGGAGAAGCTGAATATGGGCCATCCTTTTAGTGCAGAGATATGAATGCACTGCTTTACCTGGCTTAGTGCAGCTGCCTGATAAAGAAAGTACTTATATTGGTCCATGGCTGTACTTACTGTGAAGTCAGCCAAAGCAAACCTGAA